CCCCCTGGTCCTATCACTAATGACACGAGAGAAGAGGCCGACCCCCAGCTCACTACAGCCTCCCTTCAGGAAGTTATAGAGAGCAATGAGGTCTCCCCTGAGCCTCCTCTTCTCCAGGCTGAACATTCCCAGCTCCTTCAGCCTCTCCTCATATGGCCTGTGTTCCAGACCCCTCACCAGCTTTGTTGCCCTCCTTTGAACACGTTCCAGGGCCTCAAAGTCTTTCTTGCACTGAGGGGCCCAAAACTGGACACAGTACTCGAGGTGCGGCCTCACCAGTGCTGAATACAGGGGAACAATCACCTCTCTGCTCCTGCTTGCAACGCTGTTTCTGATGCAAGCCAGGATGCCATTGGCCTTCTTGGCCACCTGGGCACACTGTCGGCTCATGTTCAGCCGAGCATCAATCAATACCCCCAGGTCCATTTCCTCTATGCAGTTCTCCAGCCACACCGTCCCAAGCCTGTAGCATCGCCTGGGGTTGTTGTAGCCGAAGTGCAGGACCTGGCATTTGGCCTTGTTGAAACTCATCCCATTGGATTCAGCCCAGCTCTCCAGCCTGTCCAGATCCCTCTGTAGGGCCTTGCTACCCCCAGGCAGATCCACACTTCCAGCCAATTTGGTGTCATCTGTGAATTTACTGAGGGTGCACTCGATGCCCTCATCGAGGTCATCAATAAAGATATTGAAGAGGACAGGCCCCAGCACCGACCCCTGGGGAACACCACTCACGACCGGTCGCCAGCTGGATTTGACTCCATTCACCACCACTCTCTGTGCCCGGCCCTCCAGCCAGCTCCTTACCCATCCAAGCCTCGGGCTGCCAGCTTCTGCAGGAGAATGCTGTGGGAGACAGTGTCAAAGGCTTTGCTGAAGTCTAGATAGACCACATCAACAGCCTTTCCCTCATCCACCAGTTGGGTCACTAGATCATAGAAGGAGATCAGGTTGGTCAAACAGGACCTGCCCTTCACGAACCCATGCTGGCTAGGCCTGATCCCCCGGTCACCCCGCACATGCCGCATGATCTCCCTCAAGACAATCTGCTCCATAACCTTCCCTGGCACCGAGGTCAGGCTAACAGGCCTGTAGTTCCCCGGATCCTCCTTACGACCTTTCTTGAAAATGGGAGTCACATCGGCAAGCCTCCAGTCTTCTGGGACCTCACCAGTCAACAAGGAGCGCTGACAGATGATGGAAAGCGGCTCGGCTCTCACCTCCGCCAGTTCCCTCAGCACTCTCGGGTGGATCTCATCTGGCCCCATCGACTTGTGACAGTCCAGCTGCGGCAGTAGGTCTCTGACTGTTTCTTTCAGAATCACGGGGGGGTTAGTGTGCTCCCCAGCCGAGATTACCAGGTCAGAGAGAGGAGTATCCTGAGGATAACTGGTCTGACTTTTAAAGACAGATGTAAAGAAGGCGTTCAGAACCTCTGCCTTTTCCTTATCCTCAGTGGTCACATTCCCAGCCTCATCCAGCAAAGAGTGGATATTCTCCTTTGTCCTCCTCTTACTGTTAATGTATTTATAAAAGAGTTTCTGATTCCTTTTCACCCCAGCGGCTAGGTTAAATTCAAGCTGGGCTTTTGCCTTTCTGATTTCACCTCTACACACTGGGGCAACGTGATTCTATATCTAGTCCAGTGAAGCAATCCGTGCAAATGTTTTCACTTTTCTAAAAAATTGTCACCTCTCATTTCCTTGTTTTCAACGAACATACCTTTCTCATGGCAGTGGTTATACACTGTTCTAAGAGATCTTTTCATTCTTTATCAAAAATAGATAAAATTTCCAAATAGAGAATTGTTAATATTTTTCATGAGAGAGTCTCTCCAATAGGCAATGATGCCTTCTCTTTGCTTGTTATAAGGTATTTCTGATTAAAAGAACAGTGAATTATGTAGAAGGTGAGTCCATAAAAAATGGAAGAAGCAATAGCTTGACAGGGAGTTTAATGTGAAACATTACAAAACAGTAGTAGAAAGAAGAAAAACATTTATTGGAATCTTCTGTATAACTGAATCTTTGCAAATTGCAGAGAATGCATTAGACAGAGGAATATCCAAAGACAGAAGTTCCATAATCCATTTGGACAGGCTAATGAGCATATCAAAATTTTTGATCATCTTTTACTGCCTTTAAAAAAAGAAAAAAATTTACACTTGTCTAGCTTGAGTTTTAAATTTGAAGCTCTTGGTTTTGAAGCTTAGGCAGCCAAAGCTCAGTGGAACTGAGGAAATCCAGTTGATGCTGGCAAGAATTAATGAAGGTTGCCAGTCAACTAGACTGCAGAACTGTCTGTGTAGATGCTTACGGCATGGTTAGGTCTCAAACCTTTTAACATTCTGAAATTAATAAGAATTCAAGTGGAGAACTGTATGTACGCAGGGGAACAAGCTACAGCTGAAAGGATTTTGTCAGCCGAAGGGCTTTCCTGTTTTTTAGGAAAAAGCAAGTATTAGACATTCAGAGTGAAAGATAAAATACAGTTTCAATTTCTTTCCTTTTTTTTTTCTTTGCTAGGATTGGGTGATGAGCCCTCCTCTGCTTTAGGACAAATAGCAATCTAGGAAGACAATTCTGGAGGTCAAATGGATAAGCTGCTTTTATAAGTGTGGCAGAAGGATTATAAGCAAAGCTTCTGTTCTATGAAAGGAAATTATGCATTGTTAAAAATAATGTAAAAATCCTTATAGGTAAAACCCCAGGGGTAGATTTAGTTAATAGCTATTATGTGAGGGTATGGAGCCATTTGTGATTCAAGTAGCACGTTTGGTTGGTCTTACAAAAACTGGAATCTGCAAAACAAATTACATGCTTTCTCTCATTAACTCTTTCCATTTTCATGGACACAAAGCACTGTTTCAATAATTCAACTACTGAACTGTTTTCTTTAAAAAGCTTCCTTTGTTGCAGCATAAACATATTTCCAATCAGAAGGTGAACTGTCACTAGGTCCATTGAATAATGGAATGTATTACTTTGCAACGCAGCATTACTTGGCATCTTAGGAAGATAAATAAGCGTGAACCTCAGGGAGAATAAAGTATAATTTTTTTCTGCAGTATCTGTATGCTTACTGTAATTATCGTAGAAAGCTGAACGTAGAAACCACTAGCTTTGGTTTATTTGATTTTTCTTGAAATTTAGAAATTTAGAGATCCTGTTCTGGGCACAGTTACCACTTACAATATAAATTTAGGAAGCATTAGTAAATGCCTTTGCTCTCCCCCTGCCTTTTTTTCTTTGCACGGTATAGAGACTTTAATTTCCTTTCTAGTGATCAGATGCTTTGCATCTGCACAGCATCGGAGAAAATACAACCTATTTGCACAAATTTTCTTAATTATGTGCTGAACATATCTCCTAAGTGGAGTCAAGCAGGTTTGATATCAGTGTGTCTCAGGGATGTGTAGGTAGCTGCATGGTGCTGTAGGAGAAGCAAAACCACACACAGGGGCAGGTTAGGGCAAATGGAATGAGGGAATGATTTAGAAATTGAGAAGGCAAACAAAACAGGGGTGGGGATTGGTAATCCTCTAAAGCTGTGTCTGCTCTTTTTATAGAGTGATAATCCTGTCTGTAAAATGGAGGAAATTGATCAATATTGAGTTTCCTGAACTTTACAGATAAAGGCTTGTATTTCAAAACAGAAATGTAAAATCTATATGCATCTAAAATTATAAGCACATCTTTTTTATATCACTGATTATCAACTGGTATTGTTTGAAGTTTTTTGTTTCTTTTACAGTGTTGAATATATAGTGTACATATATCAGTGTTTTATTGCTATTTGCTCTTCACCTCTTGGAATTTTTGAAGAGGTTTGTTGAATGTTTGACTACAGTGACTCTGAACACAAATTTGTAAATGGCTTTCTGAAAAGGCATGAAAAGATAAAATTCAGCATAACTTCAAAGGAGGGCTATATTTGCATAGAGTGTAATTCATTGGTGCTCACAATTTAAACATATTATTTGCTGTTGAAATCATTGTCCAAAAAATTAAAATTCAGTCTATTTTAGAAAACATAAATGGGATTTGTAGTCTTCAGAGATACTCATATTCACTGTTCACAATTCAGAGAGATATTAGCCAGGCAAAATAACAAAATTTACTTACTACATGCTGTGTGTTTTATCTAGTTCATATTGTTTTACTGACTTTTTTTTTTTTTTTTTGGCAGGATGGGTAAGTTGTTATTTCTTTAAATTAATAACAGTCTCACAAAGTTGTTTAAGCAAGTAATTCTGTGTGATTCTGGAAGTGAGACTTATTCTTACTTGTAAAAAATTCAAAATATTATAGTTTGATTACAACAAGACAACTAAATTTCTTTTGTGTCACGTGTGGAAGAGAACATGTTTTTAATTAAGAGAAGATGGATGTGCTGATTCGGGAGTCAGTGTAAATACTGGGAGGTACAAAGCTAATCTCATAAGCGTGTGAATTTGTTCATGAATATATGTGCATGTTGAATACTGTTCACACAAAATGTGAAAGTGAAAGGGAAGGAAAATGAAATTATGGAATGAAGGAATGAAGGAAAAGACATTATGGAATGAAGAGAAAGGGAGGGAGGAAGGGGAAGAAAGATGACTCCTTGCTTCTTTCACCGAAAACTACGTGAATTCCTAACTTTGAGAAAACTACTTTTGTTTTAAGCAAGAGCCAAAAATTTGCTTGAGGACATGTTTATTTGCTGCAGATATTTTCCAAGTGCCATCAGCTTCAGAGCCTTTCCTTTCAGGCATTAATCCTAGTTGGCTGGTTTATCATAAACCTTTGTGTTCAGTTTTTACATATTGTTAGCGTTAATCTTCGAAGGAATAAAACTAATATCAATTTTTTTATTCTTATGTGTTGGTTTGGTAGATGTAAGAGAGTATCTTTTATTTTTGCTACTAGCAGAATATCTTTGCTATTAGCAGAATAAGAATGCAGTGTTTATAGATGAAAAATGTATCCTTTTATTTATCTCTCTCAAAATTCTATTTACAGATTTTAGTTATGCTCACTATTATGGCGATTCTTACCTGGAATTTCAAGGCTTGCATTTAAACATGCAAAATTTCATCCACTTGGAATTTAAGACCTATAAACCTGATGGACTACTCCTATATATTGAAGAGAGCTCGGAATCAATAGGACAGTTTTTAATTCAGCTTTTTATCAGACATGGCATCTTACAGGTAAGGCATCAAAATATTCTGCTAAACGGGAAGAAAGTAAAATTTGGGATCTGTAATAATTTTAATATGTATTCTGTTTTTTTTACTATAGAAAATTTGCTATATTCAGTATTTTAAGGAAAATATTTGTCAAACTTCTCAGAATGATGTCTCATGGGATGTGAGTGTATGTCTCATAACAAGTGGTTTTTGATTAAACTGAGTAGTTATAAGGGGAAAGTCTATCAGAAAATATAACATTTAAAAACAAAAAAAAACATAATCAGATTTTTCTAGATATTCCTTCTTACATGCAAAGTCTAAACCTCTTTAATCTCCTCGTGCATTCATTAAAATTGTCGTAAGGAAAAAGGCTGTGGAACTGAATGAATTTTGTCATTAAAAATGTGTAAGGGAAGAGAGCAAATCTTTCTTACTACATGGGTATGAGTAGAAACCTTTTACTTGATTTGTCATGATAATTGATAGTTCCAAAGTATCCATAAAACCTATTTGCTTGACAGGTGTGAAAAGACTAGATTGAAATACATTTGTGTATATGCAGTAAGGAACGAAGTCTATGTTATCTTTACTATGTTATCTTTACTTTTAGCAAATCATTCTTTCTTTTCTGAGGAAGACATCATTTTGTATTTGTGAAGAGATGTAAGAAGATTTAAGATATTAAAAGAATGGTTTCTTTTCTCATAATGCATCTTACTTTTTACTGTTAAAAACTTCCAAAAGCTATTATATTCTTCTGCAAAGATAGAGAAATGAGTGTTTTGCAAGGATAGTGAAATGAGTATTCGTATCCTATTGATTCTCATGTTTTAAAGAACATGATTATAAAAAGGTATATAAACTGCAGGTGAAAGGGAAAATAATTAAAAATAACCTTTTATTTTTTTATATTGTTATTTACCATGTTTTATTATATAGTGATTATCTTAATCTGAAATAAACAAGGTTATTTTGGACAGGATGTTATTCAAGGCTTAGAAAATGTCGATGGATTTAAGTCCATCTTACTTGTTCATAGTAAAGTAATGATGCAGAAAAATATTTTCCTAACATATCGTAAGCACCATAAAATATGAAAGTGCTTTAATTGACAAAAATCTATTCAGAGTTCCCAGTGTGCCATGTTAAAACTAATTGAATTCACTTAATCATTCACAAAACTGTTCAATTGAACGTAGATTTAAAGCCCAATGAACAAGAGGTTCTAAGCTCACAATCAAGCTACAATTATAAGTAGACAAACCATGAAATCAAGTGCTTGTTCACATTAGTGTAGGAAATTAAATGGTGTTCCTAAATGTTCAAGCTTGCATGCTACATTACGTGTTTGGAAGTATAAGGAGGCTGTAAAACGGTAAGTAAAATTTACTCATGGTCAATGCTAGTTTCGACTGTGTTGCAGATGGTCAACTTCTTTGCAAATCAGGTCCATAATAATAATAATACAATCTGATTGTACAGTACACAAAGATAAAAGCATTTTCATTTTTCAGGCTAGCAAACATTTTCGTGTGCTTGTGTATTTCTGATGTGATATACTCCTGATCTAGATCTTTAATAAAGCATTAGTTTTTCTTGATTTGCATGTTGTCCTTCAGGTTTTCATGAAACCATTTATTATTTTTAAATCAAAGTTTCTAGGCCACTAGCTCTCTAGTTATTACAAATAATGTAATAAAAGCATTTTTTCCCACTCTGTAGTACCAGTTTGTGTGTGGTAAAGCAACACAAGTCAAAAACATCACAACTCCTGCTAGAGTGGATGATGGACAGTGGTATAAAGTGCAGATTAGGTAAGTGTTATATTTCATTGTTGTCTGTGTTTATAATTGCCTCAGAGATTGTCTAAGTTGGACAATGACATTTTATTTCATTAGCTATGAGTAGTATGTGAATGTGTGCAGTGAAATTATTTTCTGGCAGTGTGGAATACAACTCTTCCTTGGAAAGAATATTTCAAATAGTTGGACAGTGCTAATTACATCACTGATGTGCTGAAAGGAAATATATTTATTTTCATCATTATCGTGTGCCAAAGCTAAAATTACAAATCAAGAGAAAAGATACTGCGCAGAAAGTCCAAGATGCTTATGAAGACCAGGAAAAATCTGAATTTCCAACAACAAAAATGTAACTAATAGAAACATTTGATGTAGCAATTCTTGAAAAACAGGACTGCATTAACTACCATAGTGTAAATGCACCTATTTTGTGATTTTTTTTTCTCCAACTTCCCTGAGAAGGAAAGAACTTGAATATACAAACTAAAATGCATATCAATAGCCTGGGGTAAAAACATCCCCGTTTCTATTTCCAGTGTGTCTAAAAAGTTATTTCATTGACAGTGAATGATGAATATTAAGGATTGTTCAGGTAAGATGAGGCAAACTGATTTTTGCTGTTGAAAGAGAAGGGGAATGTATAACATTAATAGGATTCATAATATGTAGCGAGTAGTTGTTGGCAATCAGTCCAGCCTCTCTAATTGACTAGAAATAGATTTTGAAATTTTTTTAGGATTTAAAATCCTAATGGTACAAATGTCAGAAGGATTTGGTTAGAAGCTGCATCATCTTGATTTCATAAAGTGCATCTTCACATCTGCTTGAGTTAAGCAAAAGTATATTCTGTACTGAAAATTACTCATTGCTTTATATCCTTTCTGTTAACAAAAATGCATTGACAACTAGATTTGATATAATCATTCTTGAAATGTTCACTATTTTGTTTCATGAAATTAACATTTAGTTTAATCAACTGTGGTATAATGAGGCAAAATAAAAAATTAAAACAACTGTGGTGAAACATTGCAGTAGCTTATTCAGTGGCTGTCTAGAGCTTTGCAAACATAATTTAATCATCACAGAACTGACTTGCAGTGAGATAAGTTTGGAATAACAGTATCTAGGAAGTTGGCAAAGCCAGGATGGGAATGCAGGACTTGCTGAATACTATACCACACTGTATAAGCACAGGCTAGGATATTCTTTGTTTTGCAGATATTAAGAATTATGAACAAACATCCTGGTAATTTAAAAAAAAAAAAAAAAAGCATAATGATGGTCCGGTACTATTTCATTGAAATAAACTTTTCATTCTTCTTCTTAAGTATCACTACTTGTTTGGAGCACCTTTGATGTGGAGCTGAAAGATTTTTGGCAAATTTGCTAAACGCATCACATTTCAGTTACTGAAGATAAGCCATCTGCAAACAGTATGCTGCCTTTATAGTGTCAAATTTAACAAAACAAATAGAAGTAGGATTGTGTAATACAAGTTGAAGCACGATGAAAATCAGTGATGATATCTTCCTTTTCTGCTTACAGGAAAGTATTTTACATCATAGACGAAGAAAAGAACAAATTTCCCACAGAGATCATTACTTTTGTTCACATCAGCAATGTTACACCTTTTAATGTTTGCAAATAGACATGCATATTACTGTGAGGCACTGCTCTCTATCCCGTCCTCATAGTTCACCAGGACATTCATGCTGAAAGTAAAATAGCAGCGTTTCTGAAATAAATTTCTCATGATGATAGAATGTTGTTGCTCAACTGTAACAACTGAAAAAAAATGGATGCAGTAAGAGGACAGGATTTTCATCACAGATCTTGGAAAGATTGATAATTTCAGATATGATATTGCCCCAGATTAGTTTGTAGTATTGGCTGCAAAATGGAGCATGTGCCTTGGAGCAGTGCCCAAGAGCCCTGTATTTATATGCAAGATAGCGTGGTTGTTCACTAAGTCTTCTTTTAATGAAAATCATTCTGCCTATTTTACCCACATCTGATTGTCTGGGTTTTGTTACAAGTGAGCTGATAATGCAATAGTGAAAGTCTGGATATGGACAATATCCCACAGGGCTTAGATTTTTTTCAGGCCTTGTAGAGGGAAAAAGGTGTTAAAAAGATTTGAGCATTGGAAAGAAGCTTACATGTTTGTTCTAACTGTGAATATGAATTTACCTCAGTAGCAACACAGAATGTTCTACCACAGTCTTCTTATTCCAGCCATTATAAAACTGCCTTTAACGCCTTAGTATTTATCTTCTTTGATATTTGGCATCTACACACACTGATAAAGTATAATGAATTGCAGAAACAGGAGATCTGCAGTTGCAATATAAGAAATTTGTCCTTTTTTTGGTTTATGATACTGCATTGGAAGAATAACCATTTCCATACTGATAATAATAGCATCATAACATCCTTGGTTAAATTAAATTTACTTTTTATCTCAAATCACAGTTGGCAGTGACTTTAACAAATCTAGCAATTTATGAATTGATTATGCAGTAGATGTCACCAATGGAACTTCTTTTCTTTAAAATGAGTCTATCAAATTTGTATTTCTTTTTTTAATTGACCATTAAGATTAGAAAACTGGTCTAGGTGCTGCATCAGCCTAGACATCATATGAAAAGGGTGCATTTTTCTCATGAAGTTCGTAATTTGAAATTTTCACTAATTATCTTTGGTTATAATTGGCTTTGGGGGATTGATTGTCTTTGGTTTTGAGATGAAGATGTTTTCTTATTGTTCTAGTCAGGATAAGGTCTTTCTAATCACGCCGTAATGCAACATATGCTCTCTCTGGAGCTTGTACTTTGCTTGTTTGTTGATAGCTTTTGTGAAGGCCTGAAATAACCCATATGGTGCAAAATATGCTGTATTTGTTACTCTTCAGAATATGCAACAAAGCCCAAATTTTCCCTAGGGCTTCTGGACTGTTGAAGTACGTGGATAATAAATAAAATTTGTAGAAAAAAACTGCAGAAAGTGATAGAGATATCTCTTTCATAGTATGTTGATTTGTGGATATCTCTCTGGATTTTCTTATAGTAAATTCCTACTTTTTTATTGTCTCAAAGATGCCATTATTTTACCTTGATTCCAACATAACAATATATAGGTGAAGAGATCATCCAGCTGCTGTTTCATGTACTATGTAAATGCAGTATACTTAATGGAAACATACTTAATTGGCCACCTCTTCAACTGACTGACGAATGTAAGCTATAATTTAACAGCAATGGCTGTTAATACTAGAAGTGTGTTAATGCTGCAAGGCATACAAGAAGGACGTTGAGGCCCTGGAGTATGTCTAGAGCAATGAAGCTAGTGAGCTCTGGAGCAAAGGCCTTATGAGGTGCAGCTGTGGGAACTGGGACTGTTTAGTCTGGTGACTGGATGCTCAGGGGAGACCTTATCACTCTCTCTAGCTATCTGAAGGAAGATTTTAGTGAGCTGAGTGTCAGCCTCTTCTCTCATGTAGCCAGTGATAGGACTAGAGGGAATGGCCTCAAATTGCACAAAGGGAGATTCAGGCTGGACATTAGGAAATACTTCCTCTTCGAAAGAATGGTCAGGCACTGGAATGGTCTGCCCAGGGAGATGGTGGATTTACTGACCCTGAAGATGCTGAAGGAACATTTAGACATTGTGTTGAGGGAACGTGGTTTATTGAGAACTATTGGTGATAGGCGGATGGTTTGACTGGATGATCTTGTTGGTCTTTTTCAATCTTGGTGATTCTATGATTCTTAGTATAAGATAATTTCATGCTCTTCGTTTTCTGGGCCTCTCACATAGAAGCCATCAGTGGACTTGCATTAGCTGCAGGACAGTTAATGAAGCACAGAGTTGAGCTTTATTTGTATTTATTACCGACGTAAAAGGTTTAAGAACTTTTTGGACCTCTAAACTGGCCACTGAGAGGGTACTAAAATACTCACAGTTTTGGCCTTGGATTTGAAGGCCCTCCTAAAGTACCTAAAGAAAAACTAGGGTATATGAAATATGAAATAATTTCTAATTTTTTTCCTAGCTCACTGATCTTACTTGGGAAAAATCTAGCGTATTGTATTTATTCCAGTTTTTGTGTGATTTATTAACTGGTAAGAGAATGAGATTTAATGTTTTCTAAACTTCACAGTTTCTTGATGCTTAATGAGATAAAATCTACTCCCCGTTGTCCAGTATTCATTGCAAAGAGGCTAAATCAATGGGGGAAAAAAACAAAACAAACAAACAAACAAACAAACAAAAAACTGACTTGAGAGTATAGTTAAGATCACAGAATCACAGAATGGCCTGGGTTGAAAGGGACCTTGAGGATCATGAATCTCCAACTCCCCTGCCACGTGCAGGGCCACCAACCTCCAATTTAATACTAGACCAGGTTGCCCAGGGCCCCATCCAATCTGGCCTTGAACATCTCTAGGAATGGGGCATCCACAACCTCCCTGAGAGATGTAGATGTGGAGACGAACAAAATTTTGAAATGCCAATACCTAGATCAAAATCTGAGTTTATAAGGTGAAAAATATAAACACAGTGATCGCAGTTGTATTGCTTAAGTTGGAAGGGACCATAAACATCATACAGTTGCAACCCCTCTGCTGTGGCTAGGGTTGCCACCCACAAGATCAGACTGCCCTGGACCCCATCCAACCTGGACTTGAATGCCTCCAGGGATGAGGCATCCACAGCTTCTCTGAGCAGTCTGTGCCAGCATCTCATCACTCTCTGTGTAAATAATTTCTTCCTTACATCTAATCTAAATCTCTCATCTTTATTTAAAGCCATTCCCCATAGTCCTATCACTATCAGGCAGTTTGTTTGAATCAAGAGAATCAAAGAAGATTCTGATTTATGAACTGTGAGATTAAAACAACTATGAATCAGAAACCTCTAAACAAGGAAAGTTTTGAAATAATATTAGTAGTCGGAATATCTGTTTATGTATTTTTCCAGTTCATTCTACAAACCTGAGCAATATATTAAGA